ACTGCTGGTTAAAAAGATAAAAGTGAGATAACAGACATCAATTTTTCACTATAAATCTCTAGGTTTACTACAACATTAAAATTTCCAGTAAAAGCAGGGTTTTATATACCTGAACTCTAATGGCCTATTCTGAAAATATTTATGTCAGGAAAAGCATGGTATTTGCATGCCAAAAGCATTTTTAGTGCCAATGTTTAGCATTCCCTTCCCATTTAACTCTTTCCCATCTACTCATGAGTGCTAGATATTCTGCCTAGTGCCTACCCATCAGATCTCCTCACGCAGCCTCCTGGAGGAGAACACTCTGGATGTGTACAAAGGCAAAAAGTCAAAGGCTTCTAATTAAATAGCACTGCATAAAATACTTGCCCGATGGCTCAGGATGGAGTCTCTAGCATGGTCTGAAACTCTTGATTTTACCTCCACACTTGGTACATGAAACTACTACTAACCAAAGCAAGAGACAGAGATGGAAGGACAGGAAACTGAGCAACACAACACAACAGCTCAGAAGTAACAGGTCAGAACTCTACATCATTAGAGGAGGTCTCTGCAGGTACGAGTAGTACTCCATTAGATTTATATAAAGTGATTAAAATCAAAGCATGATTTTGTGAGAACCAAGTGTCTCACCATCCTCATACAGGCATTTTCATTGAGTGAGAAGGGAGGGCATTTAGCACCTATGGGGCCATAAAGAGCTATCGGCAGGATTGACGCTGCAGAAGAGTATTGATTTCATCTGTTTATTTTATTACAAATTAAACTTCTTTAGGTAAATAATGCAGGCTAGCGGCCTTAAACTGTAGTGCATGGGACTCTCAGAGGTACAGAGCTTGATATTGCTTCAGTTTTTGCAAACTGTAATTTCCTCAATTTAAGAAAGCTTTAGTAATTTAACCTGATTTTCAGCAAAGTATTGCTTTCTTCCCTGCTTCATACTAGCATGTGCAAGCCACAGCTTTTCAGGATAAGCTATAACATAAATCTAACTTCTTAAAACATAGCAAACATATAGAAACACTACAAGTCTCTACCTGCCTTATTTCTCAGGGCTCTTAGGTCTGGGGGTTTTGTTTGCTTGTTTATCTGTTTTTATGGAATAAAATTAGATTTCAGCATCTGTCACCATCAAGAAAAATTCATCCCTGGCTCCCACATGAGAACATCGCAACCACTGCACAGTTACTGAACCATGATACCTTAATGATCATTACACAAATCAACTTTTTTTTTTTTAATAATGAAATTAAGAATGTGCTTTCATAATTACTCGAATCAGACTTTGAGGTTATAAATTTAATAAAACCTCAATATGACGAAATTGTAAAAGTAATGTATGCCACAATTTTATGTGTGGATACTTTTAATTTAGAGTTATTCAGGTGTGCTGATTAAATTTTAGCAAATAATACTGTTGGCATTGCCACTCTACCATTAAGAACCAACAACCTGTGAGAAGAGACAAAACACTTCGTAACCTTTCTGTCTTCCTTTTGTGTGCATTTTTGCAAAGCTCTCTTTTCAACATAATCTAACAAAAAACCCATGCAGGACAGACAACCTACAATAAAACCACAAGATTTTAAACATGGACATTAGGTGCTTTGCCAATTAAAGTCCTAGAACTCCCCAAAGATATGATATATTCCAGGAATTTGAATTATAATACCTTTCTTAGCTCCTCAGTATAATCATATTAACTTTTAAAGTATATCTTTTGAATTTAACAGATTTTTAATGTATTCTGTAGATAGCACATCGATTCTTAAAAAGATAAAAACTTAAAAACTATACAGAATGTATGCATTCCTGTACGGGAAAAGAATTCAGCATTGCAAGGAATGTCCCCAAACCCATTCAAACCGATGTACCAAACAGGCCTTTTCCTTTGGGAAAGCCAACAAGCTGCCAGCAAAGTCCACAGTGAAATCATAAGCAGACACATCATCCCTCACCTGAGTCAGCACATGATCTCTCTTAACAGCCCTGCAACCTTTACCTGATCCCATGACCTCTGCCACACCAGGCCCCAGCAACCAGCTGCTTTGTTGAGCATCAGCTCCACGCGCAGTTGGTCCTCCACCATTCAGGAGGATTTAAAAAGAAAATTGTTAATCAACACATTATTTTCTAATATGTTTCCTCCAGACTTTTCACTGAAATTAAGTGATTATCCCAGGATTTCCAGTTCCACTCTTGCCAAAGGCACTAACACAGTGCAAGGGAAGACGCTCGTTTTTTACCTTGGCGCTACCCAAATAGAAACTCCTGTAGTGCATCATTTAATAGCAATTCTGTACAAAGTACTCTACTCAGCAGAACGTTATCTGCAGTCTCCTGGCTCAGACAAGCCCAGCCACCTTGCAGATGCTGGCTGCTTAGACATCCAATCCAATGCTGCCCCAAATCAGTTTATTAAGGGGGAAAAAAAAAAATAGCAAGGCCTTCCAGCAAACAACTACCTTTGTTCCCTCGCAGAGCTGGTTTAGATCACATATGGTTTTACACCAGAACTCCAGACTGCACTCTGAAATTAATCAAGTTTTTATATCCAAAATAAGATAAAACCAGCAACGTTCAATTTGAGTGATTTTTTAAAACAAAACTGTTAATCAACATATAATTTCTAATATGTGTCCTACAGACTTTCACTATAACTTGGGTTATCTCAGGATTTCCAGTTCTGAGTATGGAACCAATGTCTCCAAATTAAGAAAATATCAGTAAGAAATCTCTCTCAAGAGAGGCTTTCTTAGAGAATATGTTTGAACAAGCCTCTTTTTTGTGCAAGGGAGACTTTTTTGCCCCAAGAAATATTTACTTGAACCACTTAAGAGCTCCAATGAAGAATCTTTTACAATACATGTACCTCCTTTAATATATGTGGCAGTATTTAAAAATTATTAATTGGGTTACTAGCAGTCAGTTAGTTCAAGAAGACCCAACACATCCTAGTCTACCTAGGAGGTTACTTCTGTAAAGCAGCTTTCTAGTACACATGACACTTTATATAACTACAGACCTGAAAGCTTGCCTAGACACTTAAATTAACATTGCATTGCTGAAACTGGGGAGAAAAATAACTCCCGAGAACACAGGTATAATCACCAGAGTAAAATGGAAGAGAACTATGTGTTTGGTGGTGTTTTCTGTACTTAGTAGCAAAGTTTGTGCAAGAATCTAAATTTTATACAAATCCTCATATAAACCTTCACAACATCCTCTGGAAGCTTTCAGGCTTCATTTTGATTACCTTCCCTTGGAAAGTCAGCACTGGAAGAGCTGAACCACCTAGAAATTTTAAGGCTTTGCAATTAAATAAATACACTAACGCACAAATCAGATCAGAACAAAATTATGTTGGCTGATAGACTGGCTTCGTACCTTAGCTTTACAGAAAACTGCAGTGGAAAGGGGAAGGTGCAGAAAACGGACAGTTCTCTAACCTCAAGTTTTGACATGTAAATAAAGACATCTGAGGAGCACACAGGTTGGGAGCTGCTGTAACATTCTATCATAATTAGAAACATTTCAAGAGCTCTGTAATTTCCAATCAAAATTACAGTAATTTCCGATATACAAGCCATGATTCATGACAGAATTTTTACATTCCATGGGAGATTATAGTGGCCTGATGTATGACACACTGAGTACAGCACTAACATAAACAATTCAGTTTAATGTTTAAACAGCACTTGGTGTTTAGAATCCCACAATAAAAGAAACATATTATTGTTGAAATTATCACTTTGACAGTGATTGAAGGGTAGGCAGGCATGTGGCCTATAAAGCTATAATTTTTACAGTCCACAGCTTGAGTTTAATCATTTTGATACAACATTTCCAAAATATCCCTTTAAATGCTCCTTACACCATATAACTTAAGAGACAACATCCTTTCTGTACAATGAAGTGAACAGCAGAGAAGTCAAAAGTTAAAGCCTTGTTAAAAAGAAAACCAGCACTAAAATGCTGATGGCCCAAGAAACATCAGTCTAACTGAGCTTCACTAGCTTTCCTTGGAAGATGCTGAATTTTTGTATGAAGTAATTTTAGAAAAGCAAAGAAGTAGTGATTAAGTGGATTTAACACTTAATCTAATATGAAAATTCAACATTGCAACCATTGCTGCCTTTGGATTTCTTTCAGGCATTTGTATAACCATAGTCTTTCCCATTTTTCTATATGTTTTTCCTTTACTTCTTGAGTACATACTCACTTAAATCAATGTTTTCTCATACTCCAGTGATTTTCTCAGAAGACATGTCATTTATGATAATCACACCCAACAAGTGCCTGCTGATTTCTCTCTTGCCACTAAACTTGACAGAAAATCTTCAGTTAAAGAAAACACAATAGGAAACCACAAAACAAAGTCTTAAAACGGAATATGCAACATATATGTATGCACACAAGCAGGTAACCAAGTAGACATTGTGTTCCACAAAAGCATACATTTTTTTCTCAGCTATAACTTGAACAACTGTAATTTTTTGGGGTCTTTTCTTTTTTGTTTGGGTTTTTTTTTTTTTGACCGTTCACCTCTCATACCCAGTCTCACCAGTGGGTCTGACTAAATATTTTTATGCAAAAAACCAGCACCCTAGCATTCCTCATTGCAGCACATGTAATTGCAAAACACCAAATCCTCGAGATGAATTTGGCAGCAATACCCAGATCTTGACCACAGCTTTTGCCACGTCCACACCAGTTAAGAGCTGATGAACCTGATCCCTTCTGAGCCATGCCAAGACCCACGGGCACACAGGGAAAGTGTCTGGCTGGTGGAGAAAAGGGAGTGAGAGATCTCAGGAAGCTGCTTCTCTACCCTGCCTGGTCCAGGGCAACCAGAGGTTACCTCCAGACTCAGCAAGGAGCTCTGAGTTCTTGTACTGGGCTGGTACACTGACCCAGTTACCCATTTTAATGCACATAGAAACTGATCTGGGGGAATAACTGCACAGGACACAGAGCTCTTTGAGCCCTGGGAGGTTTACCTGGCTTTTGGTTGCCGCAACCTTCGCAAACAGTGCTTGGGACACCTTAGCTCTCTTCATTTCCTGCTGAATCTCATCATAAATGGAAGCATTAATGTTCATGGAATTGTTTTCTGGTTTTCCATTCCTCTCTGTAGCAATAGTAGCAGTTTTGACCTAAAAAATATGAGACATTTTTCATTACAAAAAAGTTATTTTCCTCTCTTTCCCTCCCTACATAGCTCCTCTTTGTATTTAATTTCTTTTATCCAATCTTTCTCTGATATTCTTTCAGCATTTTGCAGAATAAACATTATAAGTTTATCTGTGGTTCAAGCAACTGGGAAACAGGAAAATTCAGTGCATTGTAACAGGTGAATGCACCTGAAATATGAGTTACCATTAACAGACCACTGCAAATTTCAATGTCATAAATTAGGTGGAAACCTGTCAAACAGTCTTGTAGAAACTTGTGAATCCTTACATGATTTCTTTGCCCCACACAAATTAAATAAAAATTGTAACTGCAACATAAAAGAATCTCTAATGAAACAGAAATCTGACAGATATATCTTGATTCATGTCTCATGCCCAGTACACTCAAATGCATGATAATGTTGAAAAGTTGTGGCTTTAGACTGAATTTTTAGAAATTTATCTTATCAGTTTAGTTCTTAAGCTGTTTTTGAGAGACAGTTTAGAATAATGCATACTTTAACCATTCCTTCATGAAACCAAGATGGACTTTCTTAAAATTACTGAGTCTAGTTATATTTCACTTACATACATCAAATATTTATTCTTCTTGCAGTCCAGGTTAAATAAACACCAAACATGTAAACAAGACAGAATGATTACAGTACCACCTTTATGCTGCATCTGCAGCATTAAGGAAACAACAAAAAAATACATCAGTAGCGACATGATGTGCAGGAGACTATCCTTTCCTTCATCCTCTGGAAATGATGGAAGTGATGTTTCAACACCAAGTATCATCCCACCAAGGTTAGACTGCAGTTTCTGCAATATCAGTTGAGAGGTACAAAAAATCAGCAGGTACTCAGCTTATCCTACAATATTCTCAGTAGTTAAGGATAACGTCTGTCTTTAGCAGTTACTCTTGAAAGGCTTGCTCAAGATTAGTGGACCTAATGGGCCACTAATCCTAAAGTGGATCAGAGGAAAGGAAAACTGGATTTCTGCCAAGAACTCACAAGGTGATGATGCAAACAAAATCAAACCTTAAGATTTCAATTCAAACCTACTGATTCATACTGAGGTTATTGAGAGCTGAATTAATTTAGTTATTCTGAAGTTACACATCTAGTCTAAGACATCATTCAGCCTAATACTAAATCTAAAGCACAAAGCCTGGCACTTCCAGAAGGTGATTCAGCCTACTCTTAAATACGTGTCTAAACCCACACTTTCACTATCAGTTTGATCCAGTGCAAGTCAGCATCTTCCTGTGCTCTGAAGTCCCTTGAGGTTCAAAAGGAAATCATGACAACATGATAATTCATCTTCTAATCTCACTCTCTACGAGCTTTCATATGCCACAGGTCTCATGATATGGGAGTCGGAGGCTTTGGATGAGAGATGTACTTAGGCAAATCAGCAGCCCATTTTTTCCTAGAAATGCCATGCTCAGTTTGTGTTAGCTATCATCCATAGTGCTTTTACTATAAACTAATCTAGCCCAGAAACTGGGAGCACATGCCACATTTGCTGGCCTGATTTGTCCAACAGGCTTTTCAGGAACTGTGCAAACACACACACACACATTAACTACAAGGGGCAAAAACCCCAGCAAAAGCAAGGTGTCTATAAGCACTTCCCCTTGCCCCATTCTGGCAGGCATTAGCACTTTCTGGTGTCTGAAAACAAGGGTCCTAAGTAAAAACAGAAATGAAGAAAAATTCCAGAACGTGGCATACAGTTAATAACGTGATTTTTTTAAAATCTGAAAACAATTAGTACTTTGCAGCCATGCCCTTTTCTGCAGTGTGACAGTGTACCAGTGACATTGCAGCAGAGGATGGCCAAGCCTAGACCAAAGGCTGCTCAGAAACATTTGAGGCACCTGGCAGCAGGCAGTGAGGAAAAGCAGCATGAAACTCTCTCCTTGCCACTGCAGAGCTGGAAAAGGTATGCTTCACACCAGACTAATCAGTACAGTGCTGCAAGAGTAGGTGCATTTCCTGAACATCATACACTGAAATAATCTGAAAATACAAAATCAGTGGCAATTTTATAACCTTTAAATAAGAAGGAATTGCCAGAAGATAACTGACAACCGGTGGGGATGTTAAACATACAGCTGAAGACAGACTTATCTGTGTGCACATCAAAATCGGCCTAAGCTAAATTAGAGAATGAAAAAGTGATGATTTTGTCAACATGCCTCTTGAACCATGGGTTTAAATTTTGGGAAACAAATTTCAGTCCTTCCCCACAAAAATAATTTTAACTTGTAACTAATCTTTGAAGGACCCAAGGAGAATATGAGAAGATGAAGGTATTCAGCTAGCATACGTCTTTTGAGAAGGAAATACTTTGCTTTTGTGATCTCGGTCAAAATGCATCTCTTCTGTAAGCACACTGCCTTTTTGATTGCTTCTGAGCTTCAAAAACAGTTTCATGTTGTAGCAGTACTTCATAGATCACTTAACAGAGCTGTGAACACACAGATCATCAAAAACCATCACACACCATGCTGTAGACATAATTTAAACTATGCTACTCAGTCCACACTTTTCAATGTCCAATTTAATAAGGATATGCATTTAACCCAAGGGAATTACTGAAAATCCTCATTCTGGTTTGCAAATCACATCTATCTTTATACAGGTACAATAAATTCAACAGCATCTAATATGTCACCAAAGTTAAAACAAACAAACAAATTCCTATTGCCTTCTGTTGATATTTAATTAGGGAACACTAATTGAATTCAGAAAACACTAATATCTGCATCAAAAAGTAGTATTAGCCCAAAAATCTTCTGGGGAATAAAGTCTTAAAGATATAAAATGATGGGTTTGGAGATTACCAGGAGTTGTAGTTTGCAGTCATACCCTCTCCATCTCCAATTCACTTCATTGGCCAAGTATAAAAATTCTTCTCCTGTCTCTTAATAATTTCTCTTCAAAGATTAGGTGTAGACTCTGGTTGGTCTAGATGGACTATTGGTCAGCTCTGGTTCCATGAATTCCATGCAATAATGCCAATTAGCCTCTTGGAGATTATCCATACATACAACTGTTTCATAATTTATACATAAGCAAGCATCTAGGCTGTCATGTTGAATTTAGAATTGAGTTCAAGACAGAGGCTGTTTGAAGCTGCGTTGAAAAAACACCCTCCTCCTCAAAAAAACCCAAAAGAAAACAAAAAAGCTCTCAATGGTGCAACTTCAGGACTTGGGTGAGGAGGTGGAAAAAGTATTCACTTGGGAGAGAAAAACAAAACAAAACATAATCTCTCATCCACACTTAAGCACAACCTCCCACCCCACCCACAGCTACAGCCACATTTTCTGTTTAGGAAAGAAACCATAGATCAGCTAATTTTCTTTTTTCTTTTTTGACAGTAACCAAATTTTGCAAATACTAACTGAAGAGGGAAGCATTATTTTACAAATGTAACACACTGAGAATCAGGAACTCATTTGGCCATCTTCCTATCACCAATCAATCCAGTCTTCTAAGAATACTTGAAAAAAGTAACACATCCATCTCCTCCTGGCCTACCCAGATATATCTCTTCTCATCAAATAAGACTGATTACAGCAGCAAGAAGTTCTGGATTAATTCAATTTTCCTAAAAAAAGGGTAAGTTGTCGTAGAAGGAATAACCAGTATGAAGAGGCTTTCAGAAACATGGAAGCTCATTCCTTCCTCATTGAAACTGAAACAAAAAAATCTTATATAGCACATTCTCATAAGTACTGTTTTAGCTTGGGAACAAAAATCTTCTTTAATCCTGGTTTAGCTTTTAATATTACATTGTACATTAAAATTCATAAAGTAGTTCATTCCAGGCAAAACAAACTACTTTTCAGTTCTGCTCTGCAAATAGCAGAGGAGGTACAATAAATGCTGTTGCTTTCAGAACAGCTTTTATCAGGACAAGGTTTACTACTCCATTATTACAGTGGCGCCTGGAAGTGCAGTTATAGTTAAGTGTCAGGGTTTCCATTAACTCTCCTCCATGGTGGTTTTTGTGGGGGTGGGAGGAGAGGATTGCATTTATTATTTTGTTCATTTTACTTTCGTTAAAATGCAACTTGGCACAAAGATTATCAACTTAAATCTCAATTTTTGCAAACTTAAAAATTTTGCTGGTGGTAATATATGGCACATGCGTACAGGACTAGGACTCCACCATAAAGTTTCCTGGAAGCTGGTGTTATCCAGAACTCCCTGCAATGGAGATTCACTGGTCCTCAAACACCATCAAAGTAGTGCTCTCCTAGACACCAGTCTTTCAAGAGTAACATCCTATCTCTGAGACCGAATGCACAATTGCTTTAACATGAAGGAACTGTAATTTATTTGCAGTCAGAGGGAGGCCAGGATTGTACTTATGGGATGAAGGTTTTGGTCAATGAGTACCTAGAACCATGACTCATGCAAGATTTGTGGCTACTTCTTAAAACATTGCCTTGTTAAAATAATATTCTGCTCTTGACGTTACATGTACTCTCTTTTTACACAGGATGATGATGGGCCCCACGGGTTAATACAAGTTTTCTTTGGGGAATATGGGTGGTGAGAAAGATTTCTTCCTTTGCTCTGCTGAAATGGAGACTACTTGTCCTGAGAGAGAAGTGTTTATAACTGCAGAATGGCTAAAAACCTTTAAGCAGAATATTTTGGAAAAGAAAATCTGTAACTTGGTCACCTGTCTCCAACCTCCCCCACAAATTGTACAGAGGAGAGGGGAGTAATTTTCCCCCCCACATCCCAAACTGCCCTGATGAGACATAAAGGCCATCCCTAGCACCTCAGCACCCTCTAAATTATCCCCAGATTCTCTCATTTCCACATAGCATGCAATAGACTCGTTCTCTCAGCTTGATCTAGGAATACCCCAAAACGGGCCTCTGTGGGGTGATCTGCAGGAGAAGGTGTTGAAGAGTGGGGGGGAAATTATTACAAGAAATAGAACATGAAAGGACCTTTTCCCTTCCTTCTAGATTGCAGAGGTTAAACGATGTCTCCATGCAGTACCTACCTGATGGAGATGCTAACACTTATAAACTTCAGTGCCCCAAGAAATAGCCTGACAGACAGGCTTCTGCCCCAGGGGTGGCAAGTCGAACAATGTCCAAGGGAAAAATCCTTGTGTACGCCGTCTCCTTGTGCTCAGTCCACCAGTGTGGAAGATAATAGCAGACTTTTACAACTTGACCAGCTTAGAGGGCTATACACACATCCCAAAAGCTTATGCATTAGAGGCTAATGATTTCAATTAAAAAAAAAAATAGTAAGATTTTGCGTTTTGTTTAAGTCAGAGAGAAAGGGAGAAGTAAGGGGGACAAAGAACTTCTCAAAGGATTTAAAAAAATAATTGGAAACAATCCAGATACATTAGCTCAAGTAGCAACTAGTAAGAATGCTGTAAAAATGAGATAAATTCAACTCTGTTCCTTCTAACTCAGGCACCAGGGTTTATGCTTGGTGAGTTCCTACTATCCAATCAGACCTCCAAGGTCACACTTTCTGTTTTTGCATACAGTAGAATAAAAAATTTACACAGAACAAGCTCAGCTGCTAAATGGTTAAGTCTGCTCTACTGTCTGGCCACCAGTTGGCACACAAAAATGCAAAATAGATCCTTTTCAGGATGTTTATTTTCACATCCTTCCGAAACTGATAACTTGCAATTGCAAAATAAACCTTCATGTGTGGCATATTAGCTCCCATTTTTCATGGTTTCATAGTTTAATTGTTTCAAATGTTACACTGGCCTAAAGATTTAATATTAAATATGTTGGCTCTTGCGTAAATTCTGTTGTCAGGATAAACGGTCTGTTTTCTCTTTCAATGGTTATCCGAGAAGCTCACAGCCAAGCTGGAAAAATATTATGCTGTATTCCTGCAAATTGATCTTTAAATAATTGCTTATAATAAATTTACTAGTAAGAATGATAGTAGTTTTATTTCCTTAGTATCAAATATTCAATAAACTGTGGACATTTTGGGGGAGGTATTACAGTAGCAGTTTGCATTAAAAATTTTGCAGTATCCTGACTGTAACTTATTTCTGCTGTGAGTCATAAAGTCATACTTGCCAGTGTTACAACTAGGACAATTTCACTGTTATTTCAAGCATCAAGTATTGTAGTTATCGTACCAACACAGATATTTCAATTTTCAAACTTAGGACTCTGAACACTTAGCAGCAGGTGAAAAGTGCTTCAGATGTTTATAGTGGCGAATTCTGAAAACATGTAAGAAGGTCACAAAGAATCACAACTCAGAGGTTTCTACATTCTCAATCTATTCACTAGGGAAAATGTGTGTGTTTTGCTGAATGACAGAGAACAGCACAACAAATGGAAAAATAAGTGCTTTGTTCTGTAGACCTCAAGTACTAGTCAATAAGGTTTCCTTGTAAACTTGCTTCCCTTTTGAAAAGGATTAAAACAAAAACGTATGCTGTTTCTACTTTGAACTGTCGCAATTAGGTTAACTATACTCCTGACTCACACTAAAAAAATGAAATGTAATTATGAACAAGAGCACAGTAGAGGCAGATAGATTCAGCCTCCCCTTTCCCACTGAATTTGGACTTACAGTATGTTTTGTCAGTTTAGAAAACCCCTAAGTCTCACTTTCTTTCTGGCTGCAAGGGATTTATACTGTTTAAAGTGTGAATTAAAACCAGTACAAGGACTACCTCTGACTTGACATCCTTCAGGAAGGTCCTGTAATTAACTCTGTTCTTTAGCTGTGAAATTGCCCAAGACCACTTGAGACAGAATGAGACATTACCTTGGCAGAAAGAGATAAGTTAAGAAGGAGGGTTAGCCTCGGCTCTGAATTACCTGGGCTGTGGGAGCAGGTACAGATGTTAAAACAAACTCAAATGTTATTTTAAACACAGTTATCTCTATTTAACTATTTCCCACTAAAGCATTACTATGTAAATAGATTCTTGTCCTTTATCTTGAAGAATATCTATAGCGGATTTTACAGACTAAACTCAGTTAATGATAACAAAACTACACCATTAGTACAGTCTATTTTTTCTGCTAAAAATTCCTTCTCTTGTGAAAAGTACTGGAGCAGGTCAAGGCAATCTTCTGTCCTCACTCCTAGAATTTTGTTATTCGTTACTTTAGTGTGGTCTTTAGTATCCATTAGCTGAAGGAAAATTAGAAAAATAATCTCAAGAGGAATTTACAGCATTCTGAACGGGTATAGAACATAGTCACAGTCACAAGCCTATGACTGGTTAACAAAAACCTACTGGTTTTGTCAAAAACTCACCCGTCACAACATTCCCACAATCCCAAATCCTTGCTTTGTTTAGCAAAACTTGACTGTGTATACAGCATGATTCCCACATATCTGCAGATCAGTTTGGTTTTTCCTTGCATAGGTACAACCTTGAGACAGCAATGCAGAGTATTTCTGAAAATATACAGGTTTTGGAGTGAACCATGTCTCTTTGTGGAAATCCTGTGCATTCCTACAGTTCACATGCATTTCTCGTGTACCTTAAAACAAGCATCAGAATTTCCTTGATCTACACGAGGACTGCACCATTGAATCTCTCGACCCCACTCTATCAAACTTTGCAATTTTTGAAGAATTAAATTAATCTTAGAGAAATCAATAGGAGTTTCATTTTAACAAATACTACATGAAGCTTTAAGGAACATAACCAAATCACTCAGAGCAATGGTTATAGCAAGCCTGTTGTTTTATGTAATTTTCAGTAGCTCAAGCTCGTGAAAGCATGCCTAGCATTTTGGGATGGGATCTTCTTTCCCCCATCACTTTAGTTTTACCTGTTTGCCTGAAAGAATAATTTTTAAGGCACGACAAGGTACTCACACTTCTGCTTTCATTCCCTCTCAGTTTAATGGTTCAAGTCCTCCAAAATCCCTATCTGAAGCTATAACATTAAGAATTGTAAGAAAGATGACAGCTAAAAGCCATCATCTTCCATGCCCAGTAAAGCTTATACCTCAATAAAATGAGAAAAAAATTCTATAGGAACCATAATGGATAGAATTTATCTTAAAATTAGAAAATAGGTAGTAATAAACTGCTACTGACATCCATTATATTTCTTAAATTTAACTTGCAATATGCACTGCAAGTAATGATTCTACAAGCGTTTAAAAAGTGTGACAGCAAAAGGTTTTCTCTTTTTCAGAAAGGTCTCACCCAGTGGGACAGTGAGAGAACACAACAAGCAGATAAATCCCAAAGGCAGAGAGAGTGGTTTACTTGTGGAGGCCGGCTGGGCGGTGTGCTTATGAGAGGCGCCGGGCCCATCGCAGAGGCGGCGTTCAAGCTCCTTTCCCTTTCGTCCTGGTAAATTCGATCTCGTTCTGCTTCTGGCAGCTGCAAGAAGTTCTGCATGGCCCGAAGGTTTACCAGCAAGGACTGCGAGGCAGTCTTGGGATCCTCTTCTTTTCGGAGGATTTCTGAGAGCAAGCCCTGTAGAGAAGGAAGAAAAAAATAGGTTCGAGAGTTAGCCTAGGTGAGTGTCTGTAAAACCATGCTCTGCAAAGCCACTGCACATCAGTCCTCATTCTTCTTCCCACTGGGCTGGGAATGAGAACAGCAAATGCACTATTCACTCCACATAGGATTATATTAATGGCATTTTAGGTATCAGAGAAGAGAGCCTCAATTGTACCCTTAATTTTATTAAGCACCTGTTTTAAATACAACATAAACGGAATCTTCCTAATAGGTCTGCCTCCTTTTACTGGCTTAACTTGCCAAGATATCTTTCACAGTCCAGAGACAATCACGAGACATTAAGGATAAGTGAGATACACTGGGGGGTTCTCAGGCTTCACAGGCAAAATGCATAAACCTTAAAAAAAGGCTTTCCACATTTCTAGCAACTTAAATAGATCTTTGAAAGGAAGTGATATTTCACAACTAATCTGAGACTATAAACTTGCAACGTTCCTAAAGTACTGCTTCACCGACTCAGGGCCATACTTTTTATAAGTCAATATTTCTTTCTAAGAGTTGCATATTGGAGTTTAACAACAAATGAGGAAACCCATTGGATGCCCTCATGTTCCTCCTTCTTGCACCTTCCTCTCTCTTCATCTGGACAACCCTAATCCTCAAACAGTCCATCGCCTGGGATTTTTATATTTAATGTCAACAGGTTCTTGACATCTCTTCTCCATGCCAGATTCTCCTTTTAAATAAGTCAGGTATTCAAAATGCTCTACTGTCTTGGAGTAACAAGATGGTGATAAGAAAGGTAACTTTTGGAAAAGCAGATGTAAACTACTACTTAGAATAAATGCTGCTGCCTTGCTGGGAAAGAGAGGATTGGCATGGGAGGCTCTTACTTATAGTGTAACAAGAGAATACACACGTGAATTTCAAGAAATAACATAACCCAATGTTTCTTTTCCTGAAGAACTGTTCTAAGTTATTCAGGATAACAGAAGGGCAAATAGAGAGAGGGAAGCAGACAATAAAAAAGCCAAAACCAAGATAGGTAATACTGAATATATCTATTCCTAAGGGGGTACAAGAGAATGATATGGCCAAGGGAATCTTTTTGGGAAGTCTGATGCTCACAGCACCTGTGGAAGTTGTCAACTCTCTCAAAGGTCTTATCTTACTAGGCAAAAGACCCTTAGGGAGGTGCTGCTGAAAAGCCACTGGTCTCAAGCAGCTGTGCTTAGGCAGGACCGGGGCCCACCCAGTGTGGGTGTGAGCTCTGCACTTCCCTGTTGGGTGAGGACAGAGGTACCAACCACTACACCTCAGCCAGTGTGGTTCTGTTCGTGCCTGCATGCATAACAGGGAAATGGAAAAAACCAAACAATCTTTCCAGCATTAAGCATGAAAAGTATTTCAGAGGAGGAGAATAAAAAATATAATCTTGGGAGATACTTTCTTACCACTTTTCTTGATCCCTCCTATTTTCTGGTATCCAGGCAGAAATTACTCAGAAGGTAAATAAACAAGTTACTTATAAAAGTGGCATTTAGGTGATGTTTTAAATTTTTTCTTAATGGTTAGTCTAATAATAAATTTACTTATTAGCAAACATGGAAAATAAATTTGTGTCTATCATTTTTTTTCTACTTTTAAGTACTCAAACCCATGGTTACCAATGTTTGTTAGTGGTAGGGTTACACAATCCACCTCAAGAGGAGGTACAAAATGATTTTGTTCTACTGGAGACAAGGCAAAACTGTCTGCAGAGCACAGGATGTAGAGAACAGAAGAGAAAGATTTAGGTTGGAAGGGACCTTTAAGATCATTGCGTCCATCCATTAGCCATGCACTGCCAAGCCCACCACTAAACCATATCCCCAGGTGCCACATTTATATGTGTTTTAAATACCTCCAGGGATGGTGATCCTGACACTTCCCTGTTCCAGTGCTGGACAACATTTTTGAAGAAGTAATTTTTCCTAATATCCAATCTAAATATCCCCTGACAACCTGAGAACATTCTCTCTCACCCTGTTGCTTGTAACTTGGCAGAAGAGACCAAAGCCCACATTTTCATCTCCTTCTAGGTAATTGTATACATATGTGATTTCTGACTGTTTCTGTGATGGAAACACCTCTCCAAAAAAATGAGCAAGAAAAACTAAACTCAAGTGGAGTCATCATTGTCAGGAGAGAAGACTCCTTACAAACAGCCACCCCACTGTCAGGCACAGGAAATGTCCTTAAAAAATACTTTAGCCCATAATAGAAAACATTTGCTTGTATAAGCCTTAGCCACATAGTGGGCGGCTAAAAAAGGTAGAAAAGGCTGTTTTTCTTGTATAACTTTTCCCTCTTCAGTGAAATAAGTAAATAAAGAAAATGCTGTTTGGTTTTTTTTTTTAACTTTTGCCTGCATTTCCACTGCTGTGGGACACCTCTTGATGATTAGAAATGCCACTAAGTATTCATTCTCCTCTCTTCCCCAATCACTGTCATGACTTTGAGCTGGGAGCAGAACAGAGCAGAGGACGGAGATGCAGAGAGAGCAGGGGAGATGACAGAGCACGGAGAAGGCAAGGAGGAGTTTGCTTCTAGGCTCTAAACCTAAACCTGAGGAAAAACTATGAAAATGAAGATGTAGTACCAGGTGCTACAGGTGTATCAGGAAGTCTTAGAATGCAGTTTACCTGCTTCACATATTACTTCATTGCTACTCCTTCAATTTCTGAGCACAAAACTCCAGCTAAAAGTTGTTAGACAAGATGTGTAATGTGAAAAATCCTAGAAAGAAAATACTGGCTCTCGCATTCTGGCCTTTGCTGATGTGCACAGATTAACTGTTCATTTTACCAGGCTTGAACTGGTTTTCCAGGATACCAGTCTTGGTGTGATCTCCTGATATTATACCTCAAGCTGCGTAACAACTAAGCCTGTTTTGCAAAGAGATTATAAACACTGTTAGGCTCAGAGCCCTCCTCACTGTTCCTCCCTTGTATTCTTTTTGCACTGGAAATGTATTTTTTTTTTAAATATTCCCAGGTTCCACCAGAAAAAAAAAAGTTTACATGTAATCACAAGTATAATTCATTACTAATGGCACAAAAATATTCAATAAATATTATCAAGGCTTTCAAAAGCTCATTACAAATTCTTTAAAAATGGAGATAAATTAAAGTGTCTGCCAATATGAACAAAAACACTGCCTGTCTGGCCCCCAGTTTGTCTCCTCCTTGAATGTAATCACTGATTCAAATAGATTTTTATCACTGTGATAGAACTTCAAAGCTTCCAGAAGAAACATGCAATTTGCCCAAACCTTCCCAAAGCATGCAGAACATCCCTGAGCACTATCCCTCTTGGTTGCACGGTGCTCCTATCCCATGTCCAGGTGGAAGATTATTCCCAAACTCCACCCCCAAGCCTGGATCCTAGCCAAGTAAGTTATAAGCAGACACATTTGTCTGTGTCGCTTAGTAGCAAGAGGAGAGCTGTCATGATAGTGTAATAGCACCTTTTTACCTTTTATTCAATAGTGATATGGATAGTGTACTTTTTCTTAAATTACACTATGAAGAATTATATGAATACAGTGGCAATTTCTGTTATACTTAAGCAGGCAAATTTCTCTCTACCACATAATTTACAGAACTCAAATTCAATAAAACATTACATGATGGTCCATTACTGTTATCAATTTTGAATAATCCATCTTCATTTTTCATTTTACTGGAAAATAAAGTGAGCCAAAGACAAAGTGGAAGAAAAAAAAAAGTAGTGCCTGAGAAGGTGGTTTGTGTAAACTAAGATTTTGTTTTACAATTACACAGAGCCATTTAGTGCATCCAAGCATTCTCCTTCAAAATAGCAATTGCCCAGAATTAGCATGAGCACAGTCCTAAATACCCAGAAGTTTTCATATATGAGAAAGGGCATTATACATGAATGAAAGGCAGTACATCCTGGCAGCTAATATTTTAACAAGCATGAGGCTCAAGTAGGAATGAGGGAGAGAGAAAAGAGAGAAACACTGAGAAATATTCAAAAACCTTCAGATCAAATGTTGTCACTTGTGGGAAAAAGAAAAGTATCAAAATTCAGACAAATTGGACAAAAAGGAGCAAAAAGCACTCTTCCTTCTTTCATGAAGACAGAGCCATGAGGCTACTAAAACAGCACCTGAGTCCCTGCAGCAAACCTTATAGCTGAAATGTACACAAATAGAGGCAAGCAGCCCCTAGTTCCAGCTCCAACCACAGCCATGACTAACACAATTCCCTGCTCACACAGTGCAGGCTCGTCACCCTGCCATGCACCAGGCTAAGCTACACCTTCGAGTCAAATGTCAGGCTGGCTGTGGGAACCCGTGTCTTTCACTTCCTGACTCATGCTAACATTTAAAAACACACAACAGAAAAGGGAGAGGAGTTCATTTATTTGTTTAGGGCTCTGAGGGCAGTTCAACCCAACAAATGTTGATGCTGCATTTCAGCTCTAAGAACAAAACGGAGTAGAGGAACTCCCAGTTTAATTTAACATTTGAAACAGCAGGCAGAGTCTCTCTGCTGATGGGGGGCAGTGGCACCACACTTTGGGGTCTACCCCAATGCATCATTACTGTCCCCCCATGGCTGCTTGGGGCTAGCTAGGGAAGCAAACTGATCACAAATACCATTTTCTAGCCTGCAAAGCACAAGAAAATATTGAATTTGCTCTTTCAAGACAGTCGAGGTATCTTCGCAGTGCACTGACATCAGCAAAACCAAAATATTATGTTTATTAATTTGATGAACTGGCAACTGAAACATAAGCTTCTCAATTTACCAAAATTATGCTGGCAGACTGGTAGTCACCTTTGGACACCTTGCTTGAGGTGAAGCTCAGATCTGCCAGCACAAGTACTAACTCAACAAAGTTTTCCACAGTGCACTGAAAGGAGGTGCTAACAGGATTCAACCTGTTTCTTCGCATCCAGTGAGCTGGAATCACAACTGCTGAAGGACAAGCAAAACTTCAGATCCTACTGTACTCTGAAGACTTCCTAGAAGGACCATAGAGAAATTCCTCACACCAAAACTGCTTCTGCTCCCTGCAACAGTTGTCCTATTGTGCCTGTATAGATATAAAGCTCCATTCAAGTTAGAGGTATCTGGACTTTGATTAAAGTTTACAAGGCAGATTCCTGGGAATTCAATTTTGAAATTACCATTTGGAACTTAAGGATAGGGAGGAAATTATTCAAGAACACATCATAGTCACACTTTTTCTTAAGGACACACTTCTAAGGTGTAGCTAAGGGTTTTTTTTTCCTGCTTTATAGATAATTAGTAATAGTAAAAAAAGACACTCTAGTTTTCAGAAGTATTTTTGCTAAATCCTTGGACTGTGGAAAGATAGAAATATTTCTAGTTGACATTTTTGCAGCCAAATTTAAAAATCTTGAAAATTAAGATCAAGTGTTGAATTACCACACTACATTGGTAGAAACTTCCCACCCAAAAACCAGCACCAAATTCTATATTCATATTGTAGAGTATAAGTCTGAAAAACAAAAGCATCTTCAGCTAATTTCAAAGTCCATTTTATTGCCTAAACACTAAGCTAAATCACTCTTAATTTATAGATCGCTTCCTTCCTTAACTTTTACACTGAAAGCAAATCTCTCCCCTCATCTGAGACTGTATCTTGACACCAGGGTTTTCTTGCACAGAACTCCTAACTGATTTCAGTGAGTTCTTATGTCTTTAGAAACTGATGGCACGAAATGGTCCCTGGAGACGGCTCAAATATGCTTATGACAGTTTCAAAAATGTCAGTGGTAAGCCTGAGTTAGCTTTCTATCTCAGAAAGCAGAACATGAATTTTAACAAGCATTTTCACTTTTCTAGCCAAAAAAAAAATAAAATACAAAACCAGAAAAACAACTTAGGATATTATATCACTGTTAGAAAATAACTCCTCAACAGCATCAGTTATTAAAGCACTATCCTAATTTTAGCTCAATGTGATGTATCCTTGAATAAGCTGTGAAGAATTCAGAAATACAGGAAGCAGAACAAATTTTAAAAGTTTTCATGTAAGAATTGCTGGTACCTGTGTTTACCCTTGGATATTAGCTGTCACTGTGGGTAAAATTAACAATTTCCAGGTTTGCAAAGGTGAAATGCACCCTCAAAAACTCCTCTGTATTCCAGTGGGGCTTTGCTTCATACGAAAAGTATGCTGAGATATTTCTTGGTAAAACTGAGACTGACACTCTCTAGGCTCCTAGTATTTTTCCTTTTTGCTCCTTACGTTTGCCATAAAACATAACAAATACTGCAAAATCTTACCTAGCTAACTGCAAATACTAACTTGATTAGCAAAAACAATTTGTAGGATGTAGGAATACTACGCTGTGTTCTTTCAAATATATTTGGTTGAAAATTGCAAAAATATATAGGTGTATTTCATATCTCTTTAGGGGAATTGTTTTCAGAGTTTATTTTGGAGTTTCCTCCCAGTTCTGGGTCACTCTCAAAACATTTTACCAAGCTGGTTAACCACAAAGTCTGGGGGAGAACTGAACTTTAAACAAATATTTAATAACATTCGTAGTAAGAAAAATACATAGCAATTCATATTTTAATATATATTTAGTGTAATAATACTAATATTAAAGTAAAGAATCAGTATTTGCACTAGAAATCTTGTTCTACAGTTGCATTCATCACATCAAACCAGCATTTTCTCCTACTCTGTCATATAAATTCAGTGTCCAGTCAGAACCAATAATCCTTGTATTTCAGGTAACAAATACTGCTTATGCACAAAGGACATGCCAAAACCTATATGCAAAACTAGCTGACAGAAACTGACCACTTCAGAGGGGGAAAGTTTAGATAAAACAATGTGCTTTCAGGCAAACCTGAGAAAGAAGTAAATAAAAAATAAACTTTATTTTCTGAATTACTTGCTTGGCTTTTTGTCCAGGTAAGATGGCAGCTGCAAAACACTGTAACATGAAGCTACTACTGTTGCTTAAACACTTTAGAGTATTAAAAATTAAATTTTTAAACACTGTATTAAACAAGATTCACTTATTTGTAAATATAACAACTGACACTGTCTGGACCTAACTTAATGTAAGTGATCCCTGCATGAGTTCATGTAACCCATGAAATTTGATATGAAAAGCCCCGATCTTGAAAACCTCCTCTGCTGTAAAGAGGAAAGACACACGCACACACAGAGCCCTACAGAGAATTCACACAATGACTCTACTTTCTTCTAGCTAAAGGAGGATGTAAAATATTGTAAGGCAATAGTAATTCAGAACAATTATAAATGACACGCTGATTCAAACCTGCTACCAGAGCATTTGAAACAGAATTTTTTATTCTCTAACAAAAATGTTTCAAGAGAAGCTCAAATTATGATCTTTTTTGTTATACTATAATCTACAATGGGCAAATTGTCCCCTAAGTGTATCTTTTCATTTAAAAATGTGGAACCCTAAGCAAATTTACCTATGTCTTCTCTAAAATATTTCCCATTTTAGACAGGCCTATTAAAAATATTTTATTTTGTGTTTTAACATACTTCTAAAATTTTGAGATCTTATTATTTGCATCCAATATACTGACATTTCTTCCATAATTTCTGCTTGATTAAATTCCATGCAACATGGCATTAAGTTAAATTCATAGAGCAGAATAAATTATAACAGGGTTAGCTTCTAAAACAGGTGTAAAAAATAACACATTTTAGTGTTACTTATCAGCTTTGCTAGGGCTTGCTTTTTCTGCATTGAAGAGCTGAAGTATATGTTCTGACGTGGACACCAGCAAGCTCAACAACTACTGTTTTTGCAACAAACTAACAAAAATACATGAAGAGAGTAGATGATCTAGAGATAAAGCTTTTAATTTTTAATCTTTTCAGAAGCCTGTAAAGATGTTATTAGGGCTTTCACTGGAAAATAATAAAAATAAATGCAAGTATGGATAAAAGATATCTCCTGTACACCTGTGAAAGAAGACAGGTTGTTCAGTGCATGCAGGTGGTCAGAGCACAACTCTGGTAGTGTAGAGTACAGCTCTACAACACAACAGACAATCTATTGGGTGACTTTATGAATGCTTCTGCATTGAGCTGTTCATTTCCTTTACTGGGAAATTCAGCTATTCATAAACCATCACAACTGGAGAGGAACCATGCTTCCTGTAAGAACAGTGGATATTTCCACAAACCTCAGTAATGTATCAACATGGACAGTGATCCTGCAAGGAAGCATGGTTCCTTCAGAGGAGCTATGTGATGAGGTAGAAATGAGAATACAGACTTAGAAGATGACAATTACTAATTAGCAAGAGAAAGAAGAGACTCTTAGACTTAAAAAAAAAAAAAAAAGAAAAAAAAAGAAAAAAGAGTACTGACCTGAGTTCGGTTAAAAGCCACACGTGCAAATACTGCCTGTGAGATTCCTGCTCGTTTCAATTCATCACGGACCCACTGGTAGATTTCGGAAGACACCTCTGTATTTGTTGAGACCTGCTGCTCCAACGGCTTGTTCATGGATCTACTGACAGGAGGAGGGTGGTTCAAGTACTGTTGGTTTAAGGACTGCTGGGCTAGAAGTCTGTTCACTGCATACTGCTGGTTCAGCAACTGGGCCATTACCAGCTGCTGATTTACCAGCTGAGGGCTAATGGGAGTAGATACAAGTCCAGGGTGCAGGTTTGGAAGTGGGGTCCGAACTGATGGTTGACTACCATGAGAAAGCTGAACAGGAGATGGAGGCTGTTCGGCTGTGTTCCCTGGGACTGGCTGCTGACCGAAGTTGACATGGTTGGCACCTTGCTGGGATAGTTCAGAAAGGCTATCCATCTCAACTACAGCAGAAAAGAAACATTGAAAAGGCCAACATCAGACTGAAAATCACAAACTTGACTGTCCTCACAAGACATGCTAATAAAAATAAACAAATGTAAAATGGTGCAATGCAACTCAACCATGAGCAGGTTGCTGCATCCAACAGTGACAGACACAGGGGACTTCAGAAAAAGAAGTCACCAACTAGAGATGGGGCAAAGACAAGAGACAAAAATCCACTCTGTGCTACAGACGATGCAGGTGAAACAACAAGTGCATCTGTGCAGAGGGTAAGGAGGGCTGCTGTGGGAAAACATGTCCCAGCCAGAGAGAGAGAAGCCCCCGGTGACTGGTTTTGCTCCTCCCATGAGGTCTCTGCCATGACATCTGCAGTTCCCAGCCACTGGAAATCTGTAACAAGCAGGGTGAGGTGCAGACCTCCCCATGCTCTGCTAATTTCTAGATGCTGCATCAATTGTATGGGACTGCTAGGAACTAGTATAATTTATGTAAATTACACAGATGGGCTGCTTTATCTTGCAACCATGTATGCATGGTTTTTTTCAGTGACTTGCAACATGGTTGAATTTTTTTCTTATATTAACTCATCTGTCTTTGACACACCCTCCTTTTTAAAAAACAGCACAGTTTTTTAACTACAAGAGTTCTTCCAGTTCCCTTCTTGTGCTTGATTAAACAACATAAAATAATTCTAGGTTGATATTAAGGAGTCTCCTTTTTATCAGCATTTGTAACTTTTTTTATTCCAAAGCTTCAGCAGCTCTGGTCTGGAAATAGCCTTAAGAAAATAAGATTTATTTAAAAACCAAAAGTCCAGTATTTTCACAAAAGTAGCAATTTTTTTTCTTATACTTGTAAGGCTTTTTTGTTTTTTAAGGCAGTGTCTGAGCTTGTCACAGTAATTATGATCTTCACTAACAGTCATCAGTGCAAGGCCACCCTTTCCTCTGCGAGGATCGAAGCTGGAAGAAGAAATCTGCGCTTGGCTTCCCACCTGCATCCCCATCTTCGTCCCCTGTCTTATCGCAGGCAGAAATTTGATAAATAAAAAACAAGCCAGTTGTTCTGCAGAGAGTTCTGGTCTCTATAGCCTGGATCAATACCCAAGCAGAGGCTTTGGTACTCCTCACACAGGTGGCTTTGGGGGCAATGCTGCCTCTTCTGCCAGTAGTTTATACAAGAACACACAAACACACATTTAATATTCTCTGGCTTCACTGACTCCAGGTGAATGGACGATGAACCTGTCTTGACAGACTGTGTAAGTAAAATTTTGCATGGGTTGCCCCATGCAGGAGCACTGCTGCAAAGGATGTGGGAGAGGCTGCTGTGGAAAGGTCTCTCTCCCCATATGGCCACTCTGCTGCCTCATACATAGAACACCTGAAACCAAGTGAGGTCTTACCACTAAATTTGGTGGTCTCAGAAGAAGGCTTCTGTGTTACACAGAAGGTACAAAGTAGATTAAGGAAAGAAGCTGCCTTTTTTCACTCAGGGAAAGTAGAGATCAACCCAAGTGGGCCATTCACTCAGAACAGTAATTCAAGCAATTATCACAAAAGTGATGCATTGTCTTCATTACAGCCTTAAGCTATAAAAGGCAAGGAACCTGTTTTGGTAGATGAATGATTTTGCTTCAAATACTGAAAGCTAAGTCAAGCTCAAAATTCAATCCAAATTGAGGTCCTATTTCTCCATTCTGTTGAAATCTATGTAGAAATTTTCTGACATAAAGTGTTCAAAATTATGTGAACAGGCTTAAGAAAGATAAAAGGGATCACAGAGTTGATAGATTTTTTTCTCCAAATAATTTACTTGTGCGTACTACAAGAATCAAACAATTGTCACAACAACTATTTGTTAAAATTAATTGAAATTAGGGTCCCAAGGTTAAAGAAAGATACGAATTTATAAAATTACAGCATTCTTGCTGGAAGGTAGTGATAGCTGAAGAAGCCTGTTTCTTTAAATATACATTAGCCAGAGTGAGAAAAAAATACATACATTAAAAAATCAGTTCGTCATAGTTCCAGGAACAGGTTTTCTAAACAATTATTCTGGGAGGTAGAAGATCTCTAGATTTACAGAATGACAGCTTTACATCTCTGGCAACCCAAGTCAGCTTGGCTGTTTCAATAGCAAATATTTATTTAAATGAATTCTTTCACTATATATGTACTTTCTACATCTACTCATCAAAAGCATCCTAAACTTATCATGAAGGGAACTGGCTTCTTATATGACTGTGACAGACCTCAATGTGACACATAATGGTATGTAACCACCATCAAGGCAATTTTTTTTTTTTGCTTACCCATCATATCTTTTGCCTTCTTGAAATGTTTATACCACCTTCCAAATTCCTGACATTTTGCTGCTGAGACATTTGCATAGTAAGTGCTGTTCACAATGGAAGAAATCATACTCTGTGTGAAAAGGGGAGAAGAAAAAAAAAATCTGTAATATAGAGCAGTACAAGTCAAAGCACAAATTATTTCAATTGTTGAACCATTATATTTTTAAAGTTTGAGAACCATATTGCATTTTAAATCCTATCATCCAAAGCCTTTTAAAAAACTCATTAATTGAACATGAAAACAAACCAAGGTATATTGTAAATGGGAGCAAAAATAGCAGATGTACTAAGGGAAGAACAAAGTTATCGACCAAGAAACATCATGCAATGGGATGGGCTCTGGACAGAAGATGCTAATCTTGAAAGTGAATTCTATTAATCCTATTTCTGCTTTTAAATTTGATTGACCCTTCACATATCCATATGGGCATACAATTCCTACACTGCCTTTACAAATGCAAGCAGTGACCCATGTTATGGACATTCAGTTCCTCTGTGACAATTATTACAGAGTAGACGCCAAAAAATCACGGGATAAAACTTTATCTGAATCACCTATGAACAGTATAAAATACGGGGTGTATAGTAGAATAAAATATGTATCTAATAACCCAAAATGAACCCAGCCTTGTTTTTCCTGAACAGGGTATTTTAAGTGATTTGCAAAAACAGGCTTATGAAAAGCTTATTGTCATGTCTAATTCTGTAACTGAATATTAGCTGTAAAACAGACCAAAGGAAAATCGAGATGATTTTTTTCTCAAAGGTTCTCGAGATATCAGATAGCTACAGTGAGAAATTTACCTTCTGCTCAGTTATGACCAATTTTAAAATAGTGGAATTTACAATGCATAAAACTTTCAGTTCCAGTACATTCTTTTACAAATCAATTAAAACTAAGCCTTGCAAAATGAGATAATGCTCCAATCTGAAAATCACACTCAGTGTATGATGTATAAACAACAAAAGTAGCAAATATAATTTCAACCGACCGACCTTTGCCACCCTTTAAATTTCTGTGTGGAAAGTAGTTACTTCTGGCTTAACTACAAGAATTGTCCAGTGCATCAAAACAGCAGTGACAGTCAAGAAGACAAAGCCTTGGTTATTACGTTTCTTCACTATTCAGAATGTAACATTTAGATATATTTGTGCTATCTTAAGAATCATTTAGAGAATCAATCCTTTGTTACACCAACTACAACAGCCACTGGAAAGAAGAGTCCAGAGTAAAAATGCAATAAATGTTACTGTAAATCTTCTTTTAAAAGCCAAGTTCCGTTTCTGACTAAATATACCTTCATTATTGATCTTAGTGAAGTTCATTATAACCATTTTCTAAGGTATTACTCAGTAGTTTGTGGGGGCTCAGAACTGCCAGAGTGAGGCAGCATTATTTGTGCCAAATGTGGATATCCCCTACTCACCAGGCAGGTATTTTAATGTTTCCCCAAATCACCAAAATTCTTGCCCTTCTGAAACTAGCTAGAGGCCTTTTTGTCAGTGGTATAAATGAAGAGTGAAATTTTTATAGACTACCACAAGTCTAGCCTGAATGACCAGAACCAAGCTCAGCTGAACCCAATTTCAACTTCCAGTATACTTAATATCTAATATGTACAAAATAAAAATACATAAGACAAACATGGGCACATGGTACATAAGGCATGATTTAAAAGTCCTAAGGATCTGAACTGGCAAATTATATGCACAGACTACTTGCAGAAACTGCAGATCTCTATGTGTAAAATGGGGAACTGGACCTGTCAGAGGCCATCATCCCACACCAGCTCGTGTATTTTGTAGATGACATTTAGACTTCAAGGTGGGTTTCTCTTACTTTGCCCCTTTCAGATATGTTCTCCTGCCCAATTAACTTAAAGTATGAACACATGTATATTAGTTTTAGTAAATTACCTATTATTGAAGATGTTTGTCTAAGATTTCCTAGTGTTCCCTTCCATGTCATTTTACAAAAACTATACACAAATGACAGGGCAGTTTGCAACACATCCCCTGCTTCTTCAGGAATAAATTTAATGCAGTTACTTTACAACCAAATAGGGGACTGGTCTGTTTAAGAAACACTGCAGGGAATTTTAGCTTCTCTGACACAATGTGAATTTCAAGCTTTGATGGCTAACACTGTGATGTTACTCCTGCTCTTCAAAGTAGATTTAAAAAAAAAAAAAAAAAAGACAGACATTATAAACACATTTAAAAATGAAAATTATCCTGCATTTTCTTTGAGAACACTTCATGCAAACATTCAAGTGATATTACCTACGCTAAGAATCCTCATCAGGAGGAATCAATGATTTATTTACTAATTCACTGAAGGCAAAATTTTACAAGCCAGATAAAATATTATTACCTTGTTAACTCAGAAAATATCTTGACAACACTGAATTTCATTGTTTCTATGTGTTATTTATTGTCATCAAACGTGCAGTCACATCAGTGCAGAGAGATGCACTTGGCTATAGAAATTTTCTATTGCTATAGAATTCCTGTACATTTTAATGCCAATCTACATATAAAAATGTCTGGTATGCCTATAGCCTAAAACTTAAGATTAAACCCATGAGTCAGTGGTCTTCAGAGATTCACTATCTAGACTTAAGGCATATTGAAGATTTTCATATTACCTGGGTCATTACACTTGAGGAGTTCCCCATATCTTGAATTATCAATAATCAAAATTATCGTGTTTGAAGCACATCATATCCTGGTACTACTGCACATATCCTCTTTATCTGTGAGGCACAGAGGCAGATGCCTTCCACACACAAGGATGAATATAAATACATCATACAAATATTCAAATGCATCACATGCATCACTCATAATCAGATTTCTTTTTCACATGTTGCAAAGACAATTTAGAGAATGCAAAAACTGATCACAGATACGGAATCTTATCTCCCTGTAGTTTATCCATGAAAGCAAGTTGTGAGCGTTCAAGATCTCAAATTTCCCTCTTTCCCCTCTCCCATGTTTCCCTCCCCCCGACCACATCACTTGCAGTCATGTTCTGAGAATCGGGAGATCTCATCTGAAATGGTGCCACCTTCACAGAAATCCCACTATTCTGGAATGATACCATCTGCTGCAGCCCAAGTGCTCTTTTTTTAGCCAAATAAGTTAATTATAATTAGGCATCCAACAACTGTGTGAAGGTAGGGGTAGAATTTGTTCTGAGGTTCAGCTGAGGTTCACCCAGCATAGATTGAACCAAATCCCATTTTCTCTGGAAGATTAAATACCAGAGATTAAATACCAGACACCATCTTTTTCTCAAAGAAGTTGGGGAACTCCCTGGGGAAATATCATAGATCTCAAGCAGGAATCGTTTCATATGCCCATCAAACAAAACCCAATAAAATGGTAGCATCAGACACCTTTTGTTTTGTGCCAGAGTCTAACGCAAGGTGCATCCTGCAAGATACGGGAAGGACCCGAGCCTTTCATGCTGGCTCGTTGCTGCAGCCACCGCTGCAGGTGCTTCAAGGGAGGCATTTCTGAGTCATTGCCTCTAACACTGCTCTTCAACCAGGTGAAGTGTTGCTCGATCATCGCTAAAAGTATACTGTTGTCCTTTTTGCAAAACAACAAAAACAATGTTAATCAGGTTAATTCAATCATCTAAACCAAAACTGTTCATGCTTTTCTGCCAAATCAACCAACCACAGCAAAATCTGTTATCAGTGATTGCTCAGCTTCCAGTCAAAAAAGCTTTTAACCCCCACAGTCCCAAAACTTCCCCTAAATAACCTTAAAATTATTTTTATATGGGCGGAATAAAGTTGTTTTCATGCCTCATGAAGGGGTACTTGGGCAGCAATATTTACACAGAGTAAATACATGCTAACAGACTTAGCAGAGTAACAGACACAGCAGCTTCCTAGAACAACTCAGCTGAATTAGATATCAGGGATTCCTTTGCAAATTAAACATTTTTCTCAAAAGAAGCACTGTAACCAAAACTTATTTAGGCCTTCCAGGTTGTTTAACTAGGAAAAAAAAAAATCTGAGCTTTTTTGCAACTCATTCATTGGTGTTTAAAGCTTCAAGCCTGCTCAGTGGAAGGGGCAAGGGCTGCAACAACTTATTTACACAATTATCTAAATACGATTAAACAGCTGATGGACAAATATTAAACTGGAAAATGTATAGTCATTTCAGCTTAATGTAATCCCCTTTCTGTAAACACCCAAGACGATTTTTTTTCAACCAGAACAGTCCTGACATCTCATAAGCCTAAGGGTGAATAGCAAGAGATTGTTTTTGATAGTTATAAATATTCAAAAGACATGCAGACCATCTGCTTTCATAATACAGGTAAAGCAAGACTGAAATGGTGACTGCTGTATAAAAATGGTTCTTTTAACAAAGTCTTCCTCTCCTCGAAAACTATAAAGACAGATGTCAAAAACTGTTTACACAGGGTAATCAGGAGCGTGCAAAATGTAATATTCCTTTTACACACAGTGCTTGCTAAAGAGATTTTTTTTTCTTTTTCTTCCCATCTGTGTGTTGCAACACATTTCTACAAGTTAAAAACATTTTTTCAAACAGAGATCTCATGAATACCCAAAAACATGCTATCTGGTTTCTGAATGCTAATTAATTTCAACTAAGGAATCTGATTTTTTTTTCTGTAGAAAGGAATGCATGCTTTTGAAATGGAGTACTTCAACAATGACAGACACTGAAAACAGAACACCCCACAAGTTTAATTTTGCACTAGTTTGACACTGGCTATTTTCACAACTGTTTTACGTTCAAACCCGCATCTGCTAAATCTGGCTATAAGACAGGCAGCAACTATCCTCTCACTTTTCAAATGAGATTTTATTTACGTTTTATTATTTATCAAATTTTTCAGTATAAAACCTTGCAACAACATAATGGTTTTGTGAAGTGATAAGTAGAAGATACCTCATCATACAAGCAGAATATGAACAGTGCTGCCCATAAACCCCACAGTCAATTTTCAGAGCTGAAACACTAATCTTGGCAGTACCCTTTTAATGTATTATATTAATGGTACAGAGGCGTTAAGCACCT